ATGTAAGGATGTCGTTATACTGCCTTCAGATAAAGGTGGTGCAGTAGTTTTATTAAACAAAAACGAATACATGAGCAAAATAGCAGACATAATCAATGGTGGGCAGTATAAAGAACTTGATCGTGACCCGACAAATCTAGTTCAAAATAAAATAAAAAAAGAATTAGCAAAAATAAAAAGTTATGTTACTGACCGAACTTTTTTCAAACTGAGCCCACAGTTCAGTAAAGCTCCGCATTTATATGGACTTCCAAAGTTACATAAACCTGGCATCCCTCTAAGACCGATAGTTAGTACAATAGACTCACCATACTACCAACTTTCAAAATTTATTTTGCCCTTACTTACACCTTATTTTGGCCAATCTGACAGTTTTGTGAAAGATTCGAAGGATTTTGTTAACAAAATACACCATTTTAAACCTAGCAATAGTACTATATTGGTTAGCTTTGATGTAACCAACTTGTTTCCTAACGTTCCCATTGAACCATGCCTGGCGATAGTACGTGAAAAACTTGAAAATGACCTGATGCTGGAAGATAGAACCAAAATTCCTGTGTCTAATATAATGGAACTGTTGACAGTCTGCGTTAGGTCAAACTACTTTCTAGTAGAGAATAAATATTATGAACAAACTACAGGAATGTCAATGGGCGGCGTTTTAAGCCCGATCCTATCTAATATTTTCATGGAAAAGTTTGAACAGGACGCAATTAAATCATTTGAAACTAAGCCTAGAGTCTGGTTACGGTATGTTGATGATGTTTTCTGTATTTGGGAAGATTCAATGTCAGAACTATTAAAATTTAAAGAACACCTTAACAGTCAGGTTGAGTCCATACAATTTACTATTGAACTGGAAAAAGATGATAAATTACCGTTTTTAGACGTATTGGTCCAGAAACAGTCACAAGGTTGGATCACTAGTGTGTTCAGGAAACCTACTGCTACAGGCCAATACCTCAACTTTGCCTCCAATCACCCCACACACGTTAAGACAGGTCTAGCCATTGGTTTGATTAAACGGGCCGAATCCATCTGTAGTACTGAGGAAATTTTTAAAACAGAGCTGGAAAACATAAAAACACATCTCCAAAACTGTGGATACCCTCCCTTCGTTTTTGCTAAGGCCTTAAAAAGCTTAAATAGGGTAAACATTCCAGAAGACCCTAGCACCAAGATAAAACCCCTGACCACTGTATGTATTCCATACGTTAAAAATGTTTCGGAAAAATTGAGACGGGTGAATTCCAAATACAATATAAGAACTGTCTTCAAAAATAAATATACTATATGTAGTCGTGTCACAAAACTAAAACCCGTTAATGAGCAACAAAATACAAAAGACATTGTCTACAAAATCCCGTGTTCTTGTGGCAGAAATTATGTGGGCCAAACTTCTAGACCAGTTAAAGTTCGAATAAATGAACACATAAAAAAAGTCAAAAACAAGGATAAGTATGGCTCTAAGATATGTGAACACGTTGTAGAAACGAATCATATTGTTGATTGGGGTTCGTCTGCAATTCTATACAAGGAGTCTGATTGGAGGAAACGAAATACGGCAGAGTCGCTTTTCATGGCAATAGAAGACGAGCCACTCTCACGACCATCGGTGGATGTCAGTACGGTGTACTTAAACATTGTTAAAAACGAACTAGAACAATTACGAGATAAGGCCAGGAGCGTGAATGGCTTATCAACAATGGACAATGCACCTACCCCCGCCCCCGCCCGTCCTCCTCCAAGCTCAGCTGATCCGGCAGTCGTGGTTAGGCGTTCGACCCGCGTGCGGGCTAAAAATAGTTTTTTAATACCCTGAAGAAGCGGAACGTTGTTTTGAGTTCCGCGAAACGTCGGACCTTGATGCCGTGGACGATTTTGTGTGTATATATGTGTGTTTATGTGTTTTGACGAGTCCCGGACATCACGAACAAAAATAAAGGTGAGTGAAGCCCACAAAAATCTACATCAACAAAACCATAGACTCCGTAGTTAGTCTATTCCAAAACTTGAACACAGCTCTCATCCTCAACGTACTCATCTATGACACAATTTTCAACCCGATTATCAAAAACTGTTATACCAATAAATGAATCTCAGGTGTTCTTTCTTTAATTTAAAAATAAATGGTGATTGAAAGTAGGAAAAAAAGGCAAGTGCCAACCTTAAAATATGTATAAGCTAACCCAATAAGGAATAGTTATATGTTCCTTTGAAATTGATAAGTCACACTTATTTCATAATTTAAAATTTTCTAAGAGCAATAAAACATAGATTTTTGAACAAAACATTTCAAACGTATCATAAATTCATCATTTTGTTGAAACTATAAAAAAACTTGCCATGCAGTGGATAATCCATTTAAAATCATAAATAATAATGTAAACATTTAATTTTGACAGTTTCAGTAGACCTTTGAATACAATTTTAATATTAACAGCTGGTTCATTAAAAGTACAGTAGTGTAAAATTATCCATATGGTCGAAATGTAAACAAAATTGCAGAGTGAACTTTAAAGGCCTCTGGGGCAGAGCCCCAAGGAAATTTACATCGTTTCTCTTTTCAGGGCTCACCTACAGACCAATACCTTTCTTTAGACACCCCTACCAAGTTTCTACGCCCAGCCGTTCTCTCAAAATAGCTGTCACAAAGAAAAACAGTTTCAAATTAATATATAGATGACATTTTTCTCAATTTTTCTTGTTTGAATTGAATAATTTATCCAACTAGTTTTTTTTTATAAATAAATTAATATTACGATTTCGTTAATATGAGATGAAACTCAAAATGTTAAACTCCGCGTACTGCAGCTCATCGAAGTAATATAGTTTATTAAAAATACGTATTCCTGCATGATTATAAATGTGAAATTCAAAATCCATGCGTATTGTAGGCTGATTATATTGTTTATTTATATTTACATTACCAGCTAACACGCACCAATGCATGAAGATCCCGCCAAAGCACGCACATTGTTCATTTCATTCCCGCGAAAAGTCCAGCCGTCAATCGCTCGCAGGTTAATCTTCGTGCTCAATCGACATATAATCAATGGTTCTTTTCTCTTCATAGATTATTCATAAATGGCTACTTTATTCTTTTACATACCTCAATCTCGATCTACCAATAAAACAGTTTTTAGACTGAATACCTTTTCACGTAAGCCTACGTTTATTAAGTTTTTAAAAAACTAAAAAGTTAAATATGCAAATCCCAATTTCTTATTGTATCAACATTTATCTGTAAGGTCGTAATCATTGATCATTTAGTTTCTAAAGCACGTTCTTCATGAAAGTATAGCCTGGTCTTAGTCACATTCTGATCTTCACGAAAATTCAACAACCTTCACGTAGCTTTAAGCACTCTAAGTTATTATCATCTAAAGAAACAATCATCTAACTTTGATGATTTGGGAGGGCATTAATTGAGTCAATTGACCTGGAGTCAGGTATTCGGGTATTACTGAATCGTGCCAACTACACCAGGGAGCCACCCAATACGTTCATTAACTGCACCAAGTGGCGGCCCTCTTTGACTGTATAATTGAGTAGGTTAGGTTAGGTTAAGCTAGGTTAGGTTAGGTTAGGATAGGTTAGGATAGGTTAGGATGACATGTAAACCAGGACATTCCTTGGCAACTCACCCCTACCTGGCTCGGACTTGGGGCAACTAAGGAACATTTTTTGGGGCCCTTTGAGGTCTTGGAACAATTAATTATGGAACTATTTGGCACAATTAATGCACCATCGACGATTTGCTTGTTAGAGGGCGGACATTTTATTCTGGAGGTCTGGGTTCGACTCCCGCGGATAACTGAGTTGCAATAATGACGTCACTAGTCAAAATTTTATGTCACAGCCCACCTTACTAGTAGAGTATGAGTATCGATTACTAACAAGATATGTATCTTACTAGTAGCTACATATGGAGTAAAAGAATGGCCATTCACTACAGAATAGAAATGAATTCGCAACAGGGAGTGAATGGTTTGTCACACTAAAAACCAATGACTTTTGGCAATTCACCCAATTCGAGACCCTATGGCTCGGAACCCACCGTGTAGGCCTTCCACGGAAAAACAAAACTAGGTATTCTCTAAAGAAGAACTCTAAGCATTAAAATAATCCAAAGGCATAAACATTCACCCTTCCACTCAAAGCGCAAGAGTTATAAAGCAAGTTATCAATAGCTGTTCACTACTCAACTTGTATTGATGAAACCATCAATGTCATTTCCTGTAATCATTGACATGCATCTGACACTTGACAGGATTGGTTCGTCCAGTGCAGTTCTATGATTTATCACACGATTGATAGTTTTTGCTCATCGCGTGATGATGTACTCAAACGCAAAAACGTAACAAAACATCTCACTGAACTGATAAAATATCAAGATGAGAGTGCTTTGATTTGTTTAAATTTTTTTATGTTTAAAATATGTATACTTTTACATAATGGTGTCCATATAAAGGTAGGTGTTTTAAGCCAAGTATGAATGGAGATGAGTGTGTGATGAGAGGCGCGATCTTGTAGTCTTGTTAGTGACTAAGGCCGACATTCCTTAGACACAGCTGTTAATTAATAGCCCATGCAGCCAATGGCAACTAAGGGACCTATAGCTCATAAAGGAATCCGAACTTATAAGGGTTTATAAGGGAAATATACCACTAAGTGTTTTGACATTGAATGTGTATTATCTAAAGTCATTGAAATGGATTGCAGTTTTTAACCACATTAAATTATCAGTTTGTAAAATACTGCCCTCTAGTTTTATAAGCAAACACAAAAACAACCGAAAAATTATCCTTGAATTTAAGAGAAACATATCACCATTTAGGACTCATGCTTAACGTACATCAAGCATAGATTAAAACCTTATCAGATTTTACAATACCCTACCAATAACGTAATGCATACGTCTGTTTGCAGTAATTGCTAGTGACTATATTTTTCCCAGCATACAACATCGTATCCGTATAGCCTCTTTCTGTTTGCAGACCATCCTAGTAGAAGACGTGGACACCGACAAGGGCGATATCTTGCGGCAGAAGCGAGGAAGCGAGAGGAAATACGTGTTCGATCTGGCTTTTGGAGAGGACTCAACACAAGTAGGTTTTTTACTTTTGGTCCTTTGCTTCTCCAAAGTTTTGTTGATATTATCTTTGACTATTAATAAAACAACTATGTCATGTGTCGAATAACGTTAAATTCTCAGAATAACCAGTATAGCTAGAAACTTAAATCAGCTGTTCTTGAGCAATTCACTTCTTTAAATGTAACAATGCCAGCAAAGATTCTTTGCTGGCATTTGACCCTTTTGAATACTCATTCTTCACTGATCTTAGTCAAGATTCCAGAGTGTGTCGGCGAGAATCGATCAAACTATTTTCTTGGACGAACTATTTTATGAGTCATCCAAATCTATCCTTTAATCACGCCGATTTTCAATCGGTTTTATAAAAATGTGTTATTCCCTTTACTAACTCTTCTTCATCATACTGTCCGGAAAACAGCCGTTTTTAGTAGTCATTGAAAAGTTTATATTTTTGTACTTTTTTGTCCAGGAACAGGAAAAAGAATCAGCTGATTTTGGTCAGTAAAAAAGTGTTTATCGAATTCATTCCACACTGATCTTCGCAAACTTTCGTATTGAGGTGTAACCTTATATTAATCCAACTTATTATTGAATAAGCCATTCATAAGAGATCTGCTCTTCCACAACTTCTAATCCATGAGCATACATTTACCAAACTGTTTTTCGATCGTTTCCACAATTAATTGTATCCCCCTTCACTGCCCATTCTTTGCCTATATTACAAATGATCAACCACTGAGACATTTCTTCTTTTTCTCCCCAGGAGCAAGTGTACTCCGCCACGACCCGCGGGCTGGTCCGTGACGTCATCAGTGGTTACAATGCCACCGTGTTCGCCTACGGAGCCACTGGGGCGGGCAAGACCCACACCATGGTAGGGAGTGACCAGGAGCCCGGCATCATGGTCAGGGCGTTGAACGATATCTTCAGGTCCATCGACAAGCACGGTCAAAACTACACGGTAAGTGAAATCGAACAAGAAATCATTTCAGGAGTCAGTTCTACACAATGGTATAAGCAACTGAGGGATTTACCGCTCCATGGCTAAGTGCACGAGACATCTGTTCCTCGATATCTTCAGGGAAACATCCAACAATTAATTATGGCAATGATGGCGATACTGAGGAACTTCTCAAGTTCTTGATCTGCTCTCAGGTAAATTCACAACACACAGGTGGCGTTGCTGTCTCAACAATTAATTATGGCTATGATGGTGATACTGAGGAACTTATCAAGTTCTTGATCTGCTCTCAGGTAAATTTACAACACACAGGTGGCGTTGCTGTCTCAACAATTAATAATGGCAATGATGGTGATACTGAGGAACTTCTCAAGTTCTTGATCTGCTCTCAGGTAAATTTACAACACACAGGTGGCGTTGCTGTATCAACAATTAATTATGGCAATGATGGTGATACTGAGGAACTTCTCAAGGTCTTGATCTGCTCTCAGGTAAATTTACAGCACACAGGTGGCGTTGCTGTATCAACAATTAATTATGGCAATGATGGTGATACTGAGGAACTTATCAAGTTCTTGATCTGCTCTCAGGTAAATTTACAGCACACAGGTGGCGTTGCTGTCCCAACAATTAATTATGGCTATGATGGTGATACTGAGGAACTTCTCAAGTTCTTGATCTGCTCTCAGGTATATTTACAACACACAGGTGGCGTTGCTGTCCCAACAATTAATTATGGCTATGATGGTGATACTGAGGAACTTCTCAAGTTCTTGATCTGCTCTCAGGTTTCGCTCTCCTATCTGGAGATCTACAATGAGAACATACGAGACTTGTTGAATCCAAGTTCTGGACACCTGGAGCTCAGAGAGGAGTCCTCGAGTAGAAACAGAGGTCGCGGAACAGCAGTCGCTGGGCTGACCGAGATTGTAGCCAACTCGACGCAGGAGGTAATTCAACATGTTGTTTATCAAAGTTACTTTACCTTTAACACCTTAGTGTTCGTTGTAGTCGCTGCTAGTCCTCATCTTTGCATAGTGGAGTGCGGGAATCCTGACTTTTCCGGGTTGAAATCCTGCAAAAAGCCAAAGACTTTTAGCTTTGAACACGATAATGCCGTGACTAAGTTGCTAAATCAACCTTAATTTTTAGGTTCATATGTAGAAAATAGAAAAGGTTTTTCTAGACGGGTGGATCGACAGCTAATGGTGGATTTAACCCACCAATCACGCCATTATCACAATAGGAAGTCGACAATGGTGATCGGTGGGGATTAAACCCGCGTCTATAGAGCAAAAGTGCTACATTCTGACCAGAAAACCAGCCGCACTGGATTAATCAAATTAAGTTCTTTCACCATCGTTTACTTAATGCTTATCATTTGTTTGTCTGGGTAGAGTGTAGAGTGCTTGCTGAAGGTAACTGCTTCTGTTACATGCTTTGTCGTTGAGCTGTAAGTTTATAATGCTAACACACGTTTCAGGGAGAAGCTACAAGGGGCGAGGGTTTGGAATTTTGCCAAAGACTTGAAAAAATGCCATTAATGCTGAAAAAACACAAACATAGTTTTATAACCATATTAACCTCTACTGTCTACTTAAACGTAAACTGAATCGACTGTATAGTGGCCTATGTAGCCAAATTTACTTTTATAGAAATACATATTTTGATAATAATCTCCCCTTTCATCTTGTTGAAAGTATCTTTCAATCACAACCAAGTTATATATTTACAATAAGCACGATATCTCGTTCCAGTGCTCAGCTTTAATTGTTCAAATCCCTCGAATCACCAATAACGTCACTTTAACTTTTATAAGTCCAACCTAAGTTCTAATTTCACTAAGGATCAAAAAGGTTCAACCATGTCTAGGAGAATACTAAGGGCAACAACACTAAATACCTTAAACAACAAACGAAAATATGTGATGTTTTAAAAATAACAATATAAGTATGAGGTTGCATGCTGACGTTCATGCGATAGCTTGACCTTACCGCGAATTGCTGTTTTTATCTTGGCTAAGCAGTTCCGGAGAAAAATTACTTTTCCGTAGTGTGGCAATGTCGTGTTAAGTAGTAACTGATTTTTATGCAGGTTTTTAATTTATGGTGATTCCGGTTGGGAATAGGGTTTGCCGTTTGTTCCACTGATTTCAGAGTTGTTTGGAAAACACAGTGATCGTAAATTTATTCAGAGAACTCGTAATAGTTTAGGAGTAATTTATTTAGTGTTTTTTAGTTAGTTTAAGACGTTTTTATGGGAATACTCAATAGTATGATCATTTTAGATGCTGATTGCAGATGTGAGGGTGTGAACTTAAATTTTGGATAAATTATTCTACACCCATCATTCACTCATTTGGGTTAAAATACCTATTGTCCACTTTTCAAAGATTGACTGATAATTAATTAATGAAGATTCACACTTGTATAGAGTAATTTTGGGAAGTATATTCATATATCACAAGATCCTATGTATACTGCTATAGTTTTGCATTTGAATCGTGATTAATCACATGGTGAAGTTATTACAACTAGTTGAGCTAAATATATCATAGAACTGAATATAAATAGTAAACAATACTCGTCAAAGAAATTAATATTCGTACTAAAATAAAGACAAATCATAAAAGTGATAAAAACTTGAATTGTTTACGTTTCTTACTAGAGAAAACTCAATGTCTCAGGAGTGTCAATAGGTGGTGAATTTGATGGATAGTGAAGAAAAAAGTAAAAAAAAATCAACAGAAGAAGCGATAGGTGTAGTAAATTAATAAAATAAAATTATCACTCTAACCTAACCCACTTAGCTCTTAAGTATAATCCCGCTTATTTGTGATTTGTAGTAATATTGTTACCTGAGGTTATTTTCGTGTTCAATATTGGTCAGCTGGACAAAAATACACAATCCGCTGCTCGAAAGGTGTAAACAGTACACACAAATCTCGAATTTAGTTTGACTGGCAGCCAAACACGAATACTAGAAAAAACGCCAGTAATGGATAAAAATAATACCATAAAACATAATCTTCAACAGAATGTCCATTAACACTACAAACACAAAGGTTAAAGTCAAGGTTGGCGCATGCAAACTTCAAATAAACAATGGAAATCAGAGTCTTTCGAATTAATAACAGAGTGGGGTTGTTTTACATAAACTCCATGAGTTTTAAAACACTACGCCATCTACCACACGATTCAGTAGATATATTAGATTTGTCCCGAGCAAAGGTAAAAACAGTGTTTTATCTCGATAACTTAGCGTGACTTTGGATTCGTTGGGCGGAATAATTCTGATTCCAACACCGCTTCAGAGTGATATGATATCACCACTGTATATTTAGAGGTTAGAATTTAACCTTGCGTTTTCGAGATTTTAATCTTAAGCACACTTTAAGTTATCTTTATTCTTAACTGCAACATTTTACTATGCTTTTATATGTATTTCAAATTTCCCTTCACTGCAAATTGTTGAATGGCTCGGTAGCTACAGCTATAGTGTGCCAGAAGATCACCTGTACGATTCTAAGGAAAATTAGTATTTCGATGGTTCAAAACTGGGCCCAGCTGTCCGTGATGGTTATCCTTTCAACAAACCAGCAGTGAGCCTGTTCTACTGACAGGGAGATTCCAACATATTACGTTTGTATAATTCTAGGTAAAGGCTAAAATAAATAATACAATCGATGCATGAAACATGCAGATTAAACGATTTTTTATTTACCTGATTGGATTTTCACTTAGATAATTCATGTTTGGTTTGGTTTAAGTTATATTCGTTTCCTATTTAAATAGCATTAGGTTGAACGAGTACTTAGGTTTGCTTTTACAGAGGAAGTAATAATGTGTGTTTTAGTGAGTTGATAGCTTAGGAACAAGCATATAAATATCATCTAATATTTACTCCTAGAAGTGTCAAGCTAAGAGAGACGTCAACAACCAATATTGTTAAGAGAGGTTCAGTCCAATGTAGTGATTTTATTCATCTTCAAACTACATCTAGAACAAAAATGTTTCCTTCCAAAACAAAACCATACACGCTGCGCCTTTGAATCCCATCCTCACTGAGAGCAATCACTATGAAAAACCGAACCAAAGCACACTTATTACCTATGTGTTGCACCACATCTGATGACACAGGCATGACTTTGACTTTGCATGTTTATTAAAGGTGATGGAGCTTCTACAGAAGGGCAACAAGGAGAGGACAGTAGAACCCACGGCGGCCAACAAGACCTCATCCAGGAGCCACGCGCTTCTGTCAGTGATAGTGAGGAAATCTACTCCACCTCAGCAGACCCAGTATCGGACAAGACTTAGACAAGGAAGGCTCTACATGTTGGACCTGGCGGGCTCAGAGAGAGCCTCACAGACTAAGGTTGTTGATTCGATCCCAAATAGAGTCGAGTCTGGTTCAAGATTAAGTTTGTTGTGCAACAGTTAGTGGTCAAATCTAACAGAAGGTCAATGCTAGGTGGTAACAAGGGGTCGCCAGAATTTTACCCCCTGGGCAAAGCTGACGTCACTATGACCTAGTAACCTGAGCGCTCAAAAGTTTGTCGAAAGTTGTGACGTCACGTTTGCCCAGGGGGTAAAATTCCAGGGGGATAAAAATCCGCTTCCCCGTAACAAGACTAGGGTTTGAACCGCGCTCTTAACAAATTTACAATACTGTACCAATGACGCAAAAACACACCAAACAACACAAACATTATTTATTATTATACGTTTTAACATTAGGGAAAATGGATTTCAATTTGTTTAATTTCCCTACATGCTATTTCCATCGCACATCGCTGCAAAGTTAACCATTCAAGACATGGAAAAGCTCAATAACTTCACAGTGAAAATTGAGGGTCAGGTATAATAAGCGTTGAACAACCCTCAACCCTTACCGTGTCTGATATCAACACAGTGATCAGCTGACCATGACGCCGTCAGGGTTGCCACAATTACAACACATTTGACCCTGCGTTTCCCTCCTCCTCCCTCCCATAGACTGTCGATATATCAACTTGCATGCTAACATGCTTAGTCACCCTTCTCGGGATGTCTTCATGTTACTGTACTAGTTAATGAATGTTGGATCGTTGTAGCTGTCCCAGTTGATATATGTTAATATTTTAGTTTCTATAATCAATAGTTTAACAGTGATGATATAATCTCGAGGCTTTGCCAAACTATTCTAATTTTCTAGTAGATGGGTAATATAGGAATGAAATGAGAAATACCTTTATGGGAGAGGTGAAGTTATAGTTCTTAAGTCCTGTCTACCTATTAAAATAAATAGAATTGTTCAATTTGATGGATTAATATTATTAGGCCATAACAACCTATTTAATACCTAACAATTAAGACCGCTTTGAATGTACTGCTACGTTTCAACCTAAACCCTATTAATTCGTTAACTTTTTTATTCTGTTAATCTCTAGAAAATCAAAATTATTAAAACAAATCTCGTAAATTTGCAAACAACTGCCATAGATATAACTTGCGAGTTACAGTGGATAAATTTTACAGCGTGACTGATATACCTAACTTTTCTCGCTGTCCATTCCATAAAGTAGGAGAGTTTCTTTTTGCTTCGTACAAAACTATAATCTACCCGAATTGCTGTAACACATCCGAACAGTAATGCCATTTCTCTTCACAATTCTACAAGCTATGTAAATAGTTTCTATATTTTGCAGAACCGAGGCAAACGTCTTGTAGAAGGCGCTCACATCAACCGATCCCTCCTGGCGCTGGGCAACGTCATAAACTCATTGAGTGGAGGTAAGCGGCCTTTTATACATACTAAACTGTACTAATACTATCGTTGGTCGTTGGTGTATAAAGTACTGTACCTTAATTGAATTAATTTTATCTATAGTACCTGCGCCGAAGCCATCTGAGCCTGCTGCACTCGAGAAACTTTCCACACTCGCCTACGGATCGATAGTTAAATAACTCTTGTGTAAATAGTGGGCCAAATGCAGTTTGCACTCGTGTTACACATTAAACTTTTCATAGAGTTACTATTAATTATAGTACCTGGGGACCGAGCTTTGCTCGGAGAAAATCATTAGTTCACTCTGAAAGCAGTCTTAGTATCGGAGATACATAAATCTGTTCCCAAACTCCACACGGCTCGCCTTTACAACGTCCTACACCATTTCCTACGTCATGGACCTGTTTCCCTCCATTCCCATAGCACTTTAAGATTGTAGATACCTTAATCTAATCGTTATTAACAGTTCCCACACTCCGGACAGCTCGCCTTGACTACTTCCTTCACCACTTCCAACGTAGCGGGCCTGTTTTTCTCCCTTCCCATAGCATTTCAGAATTGCAGATACGTTAATCTAATCGTCATAAACAGTTCCCACACTCCATACTAATCGCCTTTACTACTTCCTTCACCACTTCCTACGTCGCAAACACGTTTCCCTCCCTTCCCATTGCATTTAAAGATTGCAGATACATTAATCTAATCGTCATAAACAGTTCCCACACTCCGGACAGCTCGCCTTGACTACTTCCTTCACCACATCCTACGTCGCGGACCTGTTTCCCTCCCTTCCCATTGCATTTAAAGATTGCAGATACCTTAATCTAATCGTCATAAACAGTTCCCACACTCCGGACAACTCGCCTTGACTACTTCCGTCACCACTTCCTACGTCGCGGACCTGTTTCCCTCCCTTCCCATAGCATTTTAGGATAGCCCATACCCTTATCTAATCGTCATAAACAGTTCCCACACTCCGGACAGCTCGCCTTGACTACTTCCTTCACCACTTCCTACGTCACGGACCTGTTTCCCTCCCTTCCCATAGCATTTTAGGATTGCAGATACCCTAATCTTATCGTCATAAACAGTCCCCACACTCCGGACTGCTCGCATTTACTACTTCCTTCATCACTTCCTACGTCACGGACCTGTTTCCCTCTATTCCCATAGCATTTTATGATTGCCTTTACTACTTCCTTCACTACTTCCTACGTCACGGACCTGTTTCCTTCCCTTCCCATAGCATTTTAGGATTGCAGATACCTTAATGTATTCGTCATAAACAGATCCTAGACTTCGCACTGCTACCCTTGACTACAATGTCTCGAGTAATCTTAAGTATAATCAATCTTTGGTATAATCTTTGCTCAATATTAACAAGTGATGTTTTTCCTTTTGTACTGTATTTGTAATTTGCTAGTATACTGTGGGTAGTTGGTTTATTATGAACACGTGCTACAACTTCAAGTCTTTTGTTTACCTTTTCCTTGTTATTTAATTCAACCAACATGGTTACTTAGCAACCCATAAGACTAATGTTAAAAAAATGTGACTTTCAGTTTCGTTTTTCTACGTAATTAGATTTTTGTTGGCAGTTGTAACTGTAGTAAACTCGTTTTTAGGCCAAAAATAATCTATTTACAACATTTGAAGAAAATCGTCGGAGCCGTTTTCGAGATCTTGGTGCAAGCAAGCAAGCAAGCAAGCAAGCATACATACATACATACAAGCAAACATTGCTCGTATTAGAGTATAGGATACCGTAAATAATTAGTCTTTCAAACACTTTAAACACGTTTTTAGGTTAGGTTAAATCCAAACATTGAACGAAATGGGAAACACTGCAACAGCTGATCGTAGTCGTAATATCTGCCAACTTATTTTCAAGCGTACACGGATTACGTGCATAATAAAAGCACGCTGGTTTGTGTTGTTTGCTTTGAATACTGATGTGTGCCAAAGTAAAAACTGTGCACCAAAATAAAAACTGTGCGCCAAAGTAAGGCTTTTAGTACTGAAAATACCACGGCGCTGTCTAGCAATATAGGGCCACGCGTGTACTGCAGTTATTGAGTCGGGAAAATACCACGGCGCGACTAACAGAGCACATTGAAACGCTCTATGCTCGCTAACAAAGGTAAGCTCAGATGTTAATGTTCTTCAAGTTTTTCCAATGCTTCAAATACTAACAATTTACCTACCGTAAGATCGGAAACGTTTTTGTAATGTTGGTTTTATATCCGATAACACTTTAGTGCGTTGATCTTGATTAAACGTTTCCCTCATTGAGGATAAATTTTACAACATATTATTTTACTCGGTTATTATAACAACGGTGGACAAGCAGATAAGAAATGTAGAATATAACTTACAAGATTTCAGGGAGTCAGCTGTTTAAATGCACGGACCTAACTGAGGCCAGGAATATATCCCTTGGACAATCGTTATGGCTGACATCTGCCTCAGACAGAACTCATAAGCTACAAAGTAGTTGTAGTCCTTGCCTTAAAACCTGAAAATTGCTGGTTCAATGCCGAGCAGATTCGATCCTAGACCCGAATACTATTTGTCATTGCGTTAAACGATAAATGATACTGTCTAACAAAAGATTGACTTTAGATGGTAACATAACTGGTTTGAATCCACTTATAAAAAATGTTTCAGTTCAGCATGTAAAACACAAAAAAAGAATATATTTACTGCAGTAAAATTTTTCCTTAAAATTAATGGGGTGTGTGTTGCTTATGCGCCTAGGTAACCGACTGGCTTCTCCTTAATCAATCATTAGACCAACAAATAAACAAGAAATTGGTTTTATGTGTATTGGGCATAAGAATACACCTCTTTAATAATCCGTGATGTTGTGTTTACCTCCAGGCCGAGGATACGTGAACTACAGAGACAGCAAACTGACGAGACTATTGCGGGAAGCTTTGAGCGGGAACTGTCGAACTGTTATGGTCGCCCACGTGAGTCCTGCGGGACTGAATAGGGAGGAGAGCAGGAACACCCTGACATACGCCTCCAGGGCGAGTGGGATAAGCCACAACAAGGTGGGTTCTGTTCTGGAGCATCACCTAATGGATTGTATTTGTAGGTGAGGTTAGTTATATTGGTCAGAACTTCTGCCCCAATGCGACTAAATAGTGTATTCTTAAGGTTATGTCATTTATAAACATCTGCATCATTGAAAATTAAAATTATCTGGAGTGTATTTGAAGTTCAATTTGCATCTGATCGTTTTGAGGATTATGTTCCAAGAACAACTTCTTCACAGGGAAGGAGGGAAGTTCCTTTAGGATCCATATGGAATCAGTCTTAGGGGACCCTCCAAAACTGGTGGTTGAAAATATCCAAGTCCTTGACACCAGTTAAAATAACAAGTGATGAGTTGTTGTTATGACTATGGTTTTAACTGATTCATTCCTGTCAGCAGGAGAAGGTCATTCTTTCATGCTGGAAAAAAACCTTCAGCATCTATTCACAAGTAGTGTATTTGTATGAGCCAATCCTAGGGATTTACATTATGTTTGATACTGAGACTTTATAAATAATCACCGACTTATTTTCTATTCATCAAATACAGAATGTCTGAAATACTTAAATACATTTTTATCCTATTCCAGGTGGAGCGGAACGTCTTGGACGTGTCATTCCATGTGTCCCAGTACCGCAACATCATCCAGGACCTTCGCTCAGAGATCACCAGACTGAGAGAAAAGATGTCAGAGGATCGACCACCGTCGGTGACGCGACCTCCGTCTGGTGGAAAGCAAGCTAAACACCTCAGAGAACAGATCGTGTCTACCTTCAGGGACCAGATGAAACTCAGGTAGGAACTAATCAGGTGTAGGATTAGGTTCATTGAACAGGTTGTTCACGTGTGAATTAGGTGAAAGAATCCTGTTATCTTCTGGGACCAAATGAAACTCAGGTAGGAACTAATCAGGTGTAGGATTAGGTTCATTGAACAGGTTGTTCACGTGTGAATTAGGTGAAAGAATCCTGTCATCTTCACGGACCAAATGTAGCTCAAGTAGGTTCATTGAAAATGTTGAACATAAGGATAATCTTAATAAGCAGATCCTGTTCACTTTTTGAGACCAGATAAAGCTGTGTAAGACCTAATTAGCTACAGGATTAAGTTCATAAAAGATTTCATTCATAGGAGTAACATTTCAGGGAACAAATCATTTTTTATTTTTTAGGACCAGATTAGGTTATTTCGCAATGTAATCTACTAGAGCATTAGATATGTCCTTTCTTAAGGGATGTCAAATGATCATATTATTGAGCCTGTTTCACTAATAAAGTTTAAAATGCATCAAGACATGAACAAAATTTTCCAATACAGTAGACTCCCTCTTATCCGGATTCCTTGGGACCCGGATAACGGTTTTTCCGGTTAGACCGACGTCCCCTAAAACTCATTAAAACGGACCGTTTACGGTGTTATTCGACTTAAATTTAGGAGAGCATTGTATTTAGATATGTGATCACTGGTCTCAAATCTTTCCCACGAGAACAGTCGTTTCAGTACCGCCCACTTCCTGCCGATTTAGTCCAGTTAAACCAATGCGCTGGTAAAAATTGTCCGGTTAAAGAGATTTCATTTCCGGGGAGCGCAGTCCGGTTACACCGATGTCCAGTTAATAGGTGTCCGGATAAGAGGGAGTCTACTGTAGGTAAACATTCTGGCAAAAAACTTCTTTCTTTGTTACAAAAAGTGTGCATTTCCATTGTCCAGCTCTGATTAGAAGCTTTTTGATGTTTTCACTTGATTACCCTATGATGTCAGATTGTCTGCCAACTACTATGCTGTCTCAAGACTCACAGAACAGATAACAACTTTAATCTAAAAATGATTTTTAAACTATTCCAAATGTTTCCCAAATTATATAACTTACTGTTAGTCAAGCACAAATACTTTTGACAGACGCCGCCTCATGGACATTGACGGCCATCTTCTCTCGCTTGGAGTAGAGGCTGAACGCCAACATCAGATCATCAGCCAGTGGGAGTCAAGAAGCAACAAGCTGTACACAAGGAAGAGCAGACCAACGACTAACCAGTCAGAACAAACTAACAACAGCAACAACTCTGGTACGGTATGGCTGAAACTTGACTCCAAACTATTTTTTATCTTTCGCCTCAAGTATTTCAGGAAGAAATCTACTTTTATCTAAATAACCGCCACTCTCTTTGCTCACCCTCCACTCCTATTGTACTTTTTAGTTATCCGCCCTGATTTACACTTGCTCCCATCCACCTCTCTTATATGTTCCACCCCCACTACCTATCGAGTTTTGGACCCTTTGACTCCTTAGAGGGAGTGTGTTAAGCTTTGTTTCTTATTCTTTCATTGCCTATGATGTGTCTTCTTACCAAATGAGGCTGAAATGTCCAAATATCCTGAAATTTAGTCTGCTCCTACACTCTATTTTGCCTCTACACCACCGCACACCATGACCATCAACATATACTTCACCATCCACCATCTCACCAAACTTGCCAAATCACCTGAGTCTATCAACAGTACCAACTCCCAGGATATCTATCACCTAAACCCAAAACTCAGTTACTACCAAGTTTCGCAACATGTTACTAAATCATAAAACTTAGCTTCATGATATACTCAGAACTTGTGGAGGCTCTTGCTCTATCCAAGCTAAAGATGGCCTGTTTCTACGCACACACTTGAAGCTAAGGAAATAAATATATTTTGGATAATAAATACATTGTTATCATTTTGTGAAAACTGTTCATAGAACTAAACCATCTACTGTACACCACAAGTTGGTAAGCATACTATGCATAATATGTACAAATCCTTTGCATAATGAAGAAAATTTAATGTATTTACATTGTACCACAAACTTATCATGTTTTAAATTTGTAAACTGCAAAAATAACTATTCATTTACTTAAAAAATGTCTTTAGACCAATGGAATGAGGCCAGCATGCATCAGGCTTGGTCTGACCTCAGCTTCATAGAGAGGGAACAAGAGAGATACATGAACCTCAGGTCTGCCACACTCAGAGAGCTGGATCAGTGTCGCCAACGTGCTGTCGCGTTGGAAAACGTAAGCAACATTTTTGGTTATGTGACCAGGTACTTTATCCCTCACTGTACTGTAGTGTAGCCAAGACATTAGCTTTTGATGAGTACGGTAGATAACCTCACTGTAAAGACAACGCTTTTAAAAATTGCCTCTAAATTGCCTTAATTATATTAAAAACAGTGAATTGATCTGTGATATGAGCTTTGTTCTTTTACAGGAGCTACCTTCTCGTCTCGACTCAGAGACAGAACAAGAGTTGCTCTCTCTTTTGTGTAGAGTTCATGAGTTAGAGGCTGACAAAATGGCTCTGCAAGGGGAACGGCTCGTGGAAACCCATGAGCTGCGCAGGCGCGGTAATGTGAAAATCACCAATGTTTTTATTACCTTAAGCACACTCCTTTCTATATGCCATCATTCAGCTGAAGACTTTTAATTCCATGACGTGTGGTTTTAGAAGACTTACCTTAAAAGCTTTTTCATGATTTATGAAAATTATACTGTCAAAGACAAAAATAGGATTTTAATTTGTGTTCCAATACAGTTTTGAGCAGATTTGTTTTTTATTTATTCAAATGAAAATATGTTTTCATCTACCGTTGTTTGTCCTGTGTGAACTGAAGATAAACTGTAAAACAAAAGTTGCATACTGTAAACAAAATGCTTTATGATAATAGAAAACAATTACTGTAGTGGACATCAACACACTCAAACATAACCTAACATGAAGACAGTATTCAAATGTCACAATAGGATGGAAAGTCTACTTTTAAGTATCCAAGCCAATAGATATTACCTACTTTGTATGAACGATCACATTATATTTTAATACAGGCACAAAACAGTTTTTGTTAATATTTACCTAAATAACTTCTTGATCAGCATTGTACGTGTTATTAAATTTACGGAAAGTAAATAAAAGAAACATCTTATAACACGGTGTTATAAGACGTTTCTTTTATTTAATTTCCGTAATATTTACTTCAAAATAATTTTTACAGTTTCAAATGTTCATATAATTGCTATTAAACAGATATGAAAGTAAACCGTAAAATACTGCCCAGTAATGCTTTGGTAACACTCTAATAAAAAATTATCAAACTTTTAAAGTATTGTTTAATTGATTATGCTAAACAATTTAAACTATTTATATTCAAGGTGAGTTGATACAGCGATTCAGCCGACAGCAGAGAATAACTGACGACATTATCACCAGACAGCGCCAGATAATGGAAGGTAAGGGCATTATGGGTAATTGGAGAGTCTTGGGTTTTCAAATACACATGTCGATTAGCTAAAACCATCAGAATTAGAATCGATTTATTGTCATTTGTCAGCATTACACTACTGGGCAACGTCAAAAACACAATAAATATACAGTAATATGCAGTAAAATGTACAAAGAGAAATATGGGTCACGTCCAATTTGAATTATTTGAGCTCTTTCGGCTAGTGTTCATACTCCTGTAAAATCCAATGAACAACCAATGGCAATCTCAGTGGCGGTCCCAAGATTTCATTTCGGGGGGTCTGGTGGTATATATAAAATCCCCCAGAGAAAAGGGGATCCAGGTTTAAAATCAGTAACTCTAATACTCAGTAACCCTTCCAACGCTTCTTGAGACTGAATTTCTGCAAATTGTTACAAAGAAGAAAGATAGCAACAATTACTTCCGGAGAAAGAAAAATAGTGTTAATTCTTCAGGAAAAGGCAGATAAAATTCTCAACTACAACTCTAAGTATAGAAAACTTATGTTGCAAACTTTCCCATTGAATTTCAAATGAACATTTTCCAGAGGGTAAGCTGGTTCTTCCCTCGGATCTTCAAGAGCTTTACAATGTCTACCAACAAGAGATTCATTCAATGACCTACAACCCAGAGAGTCTTCCACCGATACATCGAGAGTGAGTAAATAGCCTTCTTGAACAAAAAAATATATTTCTGTAGAATTCCAGTTGGTAGACCTGCAATTAACAGGATCCTCAAACATCCACCATTTGGCTAAATGCAGGGACAGGCTAGTCCATTATGTCTAAGTTAATGAGTATTAAACATTAAACTGAAATTCATTCTTTCGTTCTACAATATTTGGAACGGTTAATTCAAAATTACAACTATTTAAAAGGAGTTTTATTTTAACCAATGTTAACTATTCATTACTGTACTTTCCTGTAAGTGGGACCAGTGGTTTTATTGAAGCTCTATACTGTTCATCGATTTTTGCTATATAATAATAGCAAGTATTATGTAAAATAACAGGATTGGGCTATGGAAGAATATGCAAAATGGACAACCATGTGTTTTTCCCGAAATTCATACATTTATGGAGTGCCTTTGTTCTAGAAGTTTGTACGAAAGGTCATCTAGAGTTGGCACGGCTGTTGAGAACGATTATGATCTGCAAACTCCCACAAGGTAGAACCAAAAATTTTACCCAGGATCTAAATCAAAATCAATTAATTAGTCCATTTTGTCAAGGCCCCACTAGAAAAAAGGGGCCGTGCTGCAGCGTGGGAAGCGCAACATGTCACAGTGGTGGATTGTGGTGGAAAGTTGCCAGACGTAAACAGCCAGCTTATTTACCTAAAACATATGGAATATGGCAGTGAATCTATACACAAGTGTGAGGTCCTGCTACATGGTTTTTTTTTTTTCTAGTGGGGCCTTGATTGGGTTTAAGCTTGAAGATACTATCTTACTTAAAATCAAAAATATCGTACATGGTAAAATTGTAAAAATTTAGGTTATACGAAATTAAATTTACTTTGGAATAGCCTCTGGATTACTAAATTGTACTAAAAAAGCTAAATTGTCTACATACAGTGTATAACTGCCAAGGGATGATCCAGATCACTGTAAGTCAGGTAAAATGTTATTCTTTCAATATAGTGTTTATGTCTGCTATTGGAAATTTTTTAGTTATTTAAGGGAACTGCCTTGTCTTGTTTCTACATAACATTGACTTTTATACAATATCACGGCTGGGTAGCTGGGTATTCCAAGTGCTCGCCTAGCAATCAAAATGTTACCAGTTCACCAGTTCAATCCTGAGAAAAGCTAAGAGTATAGCTTTTTGATGGTCTGAAACTTAACACAGCTGTCCCTGATTATTGGGCTTTAAATAAATGATCCTGACTGATAAAACAGCTGATCTTAGTCAGTAACAATGCTACGAAAATCATCCACTCCATATTCTACATTCATCGTTAACTCATATTTGGGTTAAAATACCCACCTAACGTGGCGCCCCCATCTCATATTGGTAATGGTAACACAACGTTTTGTTTGATAGCAAAAGTAATTAATCGATATCCTGATGATCTCTTGGAATGAAGCCAGCAACTGTCAGATTTGAAGGGGAGCATATAACTACTTGGCTACCCACATAATTTATTAGTTATACACAACTTTATTAGCTACCTAGTATTCAGTCATCTGTCAAGTCTGCTAATTGAAGTAAACAAGAAAAAAAATTATTTTAATATGTCCTGATAATTCAGGATATTATTTAGTGCTTTCCACAAAGGGATGGAACACACAATTTTAATGGAATTTTGTTTTGTTTCAGCAATTCTACATCAGGAGGGGATTGGGACACTCTGCCCCCCCTTCGTCCCAAAGAGCCCCCCGTGCCCCCCAAGGCCCCTGAGTTGACATCATTGCCCCCCTTGCACCCCTGACAGAGAAGCAGACAAGTTGTAGGGGTCACCTAGCATAAACCTCAAAAATCAAAAGGGGAGCGGAAATCACTAAGAAAATCTCAATTAAATATACCCCTCTAATATAAATGTAAAGAAAATTACACGCTCCTTGTAAATTACTGTACAGTGATTACACAAATGGTTCTCTAATGTTATAAGAGGTTTTGGATCTTGACTACAGTCATTTTCAGTATAAGTATTTGGCTATATTTGTGTGTATTTGAGAAGTATAAGAACTAGTAAAAAAATTAATATTGAAAGATAGAGGTTACAATACAAAATATAGTTTCTGTGAAGCTATATGATGGTGACAAGAAAATAATGTATTTTGTATATTTGCAATAGTAATAGTGTGGGTGAGACTCCCACCCCACAGGTGAAAGAACTTCTCATGACTATAAAACACTCCACATACACTGGTTTTCATATTATTTTGGTCTGTTTTCTTTCTTAGACCACATCTATGGTTTTAATTGACTAGAATTTTTTGTTTCATTACTGAAAATAGATCCCTAGTGAAGTGAAAATATCCAGAATAATTTTAAACTTAAGTTCCGTCTGAACATCAGTTCAAAAATAATACTAAAATAAAATGTTTAGGGACAGCTTTTAGCTAAGAGTTTTAATGTAGGATATTGAAAACGTCCAGTGTGGTGCTAAGTTCAATTATTGTAGCTTAATAAGAAACAACCTAGCTAAAATGTAGGTAGCATTTTAGAATTTTTATAATGATGTGTTTTTATAATAAATTTAGACCTCACTTTGATTTCCAATTCTAAATAATCATTAAGGATGTAGATAGTGATCATTAAGTCATTATTGTGATCTTTAAGGTATTAAAATGTTAGTGAATCCAACATTCACATTGGACTCTGAAGTAGACATCCCATCAACTTGGACAGTCTGTAACCAGTTTTTTTTACTGATTTCAAGGGTGCCACCAGAAAAATTTATCATTATTTAAGAAATCAATATTTATTTTTTTTTCACGGCAATGCCATTTTCAATAATAACAATCAGTTAAGATTGTAAAAAAAGATTATATAAACTTCAAGACTGACTTAGAAACCATACAACAAAACAACATTTCATCAACAATTACATAAATACAATCAATCATTAATCAACACTATGACATAAAAATGCAAAATGATTATGAATAACACTTTTTTTTTTTTTTTTTTTAGGGAGAGGAGGGAAAATGCTTTTACGCACACAGGTAGCCAGCCTGTAGTGTGAGACTCCTGAAAATTGTCAGACTACTCACTAAAAAAAAACCCCTCTACTCTGTTGGACACAGACCTGGAATTGTTTGTCACATTACTTCAAGTCAGGCCAACATGTGACCTAAGCCTTCAGGGCTCGCACCGTTTCTGGCATTTCGATTCTTAATGACCTACAACCGCATCCCGGTCAAGGTCGATCTTCTTGGCGCGGAGAATACCCTGGATATAATGTGACACACAGGTCCAATTGTCCTCACCCTCCGTCATAATCGGTATGACCGTGTCCACCGACAGCAGTCCTATTAATTGTTGAGCCTCCAGGCGGGGCCTTTCCCAGCGCTGGCAGTGGAAAAATGTATGTTCCACGTCATCGAGAATGCCTGGGCAGTATATGCAGTCGGGTGACACGGCTTTGCCCATCCTGAACAGGTACGACCGGAAAAAGCCGTGTCCCGTCAGAAATTGGGTGAGGTAGAAGTCTACCTCTCCGTACCGCCGATCAACCCAAGGTTGGACTTGCTGTATCAGTCGCCTGGTCCAGAGTCCCCGTGTCTCCTGTTCCCAGCCCTCCTGCCACAGCTGGTAGGTGCGGGTGCGTTCCTCTGTTCGTGCCTCGTCCTCCCCACGGCGCCGGTAAATTGCCTTTCTCTCCGCCGCCAAAAGTTTGACGGGGATGACTCCAGCAATCACCAGGATGGCGGGCTCGGACACTGTTCGGTAGGCAGATGCTACCCTCAGTGCTGCCTGACGCTGCACTCGGGCGAGCCGCATCCTGTATGCCTCCTTATTTAGTGCGTCTGCCCACACCTCCGCACCGTACAAGAGTACGGACTGGACCGAAGACATTAACAGCCTTCTGAATAACACTAACAATGATAATAATATGGTCAATAGCTTATAAAGCATGATAATAATTTCCAATAGTTTATAAAGCAATCTGATTTTGGCCTGACCCAATTTTGACCGAATCAAAACCGGTCAAAACTTTTTACGACTAAGTAAAGAAGTCTTCACCTTAGCCCCTTACTTACCATGGGGTCCAGAAAAGAGAGGGGTTTGGGTACCCTCCTTGAAAATTATTTTGAAAGTTATGGCCCTAAAAACTAAATGATAATGATTTTTACGAGATACTGCACACAAAAATTAATCTAGTCGCCCATATTTGTTGCCGAATATGTTTGATCCATGCAAAAGATAATTTGTTGATCTTCTCTGCTCCGGGGGGGGGGCCTCTTCTCCTCTCTGGTGGCATCCATGAATTAGTTAAAAGTGTTGTAAAAGTTACCCTTTGCTTTGGTATAATCAAACTCTATGTATAATAAAGCGGGATCACAGATCTGCCACTCTGTCAATGGCGCTCCATTGAACTAATTGTTCTCTTTTGTTTCTAAACTGGCTACAAAACTTTGGCATGGAAATCTAACGTCTACTTCACAGTACTGTATATAACGTAGTCAAGAATGATAGAAATATTTTTAAAAAGATTTGTTAGTTTAAAAAAAAATTAGAATAGGCTAGTTGTTATACTATGTGAGTATATAAAATGCAAAATTTAAAAAAATATTAAGTGAGTAATTATAATATAATTATCTAAAACTATATAGCAGAATCTGGTAATCTTATAGGCCTACCCTTTTGGTTAGTTTATAATTTTAGAACATGAAACAATTATTGGTCCCATAAATTGTAAATTATGTTGTATGTCAATTTCATGGATAATCTTCTCTTCACACCATTTCCAGCATTTATAAACTTATTTTGTCATTGACTCCTAGGTTTAGAGTTTTTATATAGCATTCAATCAAAAAGGGACTTCATTATTGTAATTTATACCATCAAAACAGCTCTTCCACCTGCTAAGCATAGCCTTTTATATTTTTTTAATTAATAGTTATTACTATAATTTTGCTAATAAATTATTTTGCTTACATGTCTGTTAGTTAATTAATTTACCTGTGTCATTTTTTTTTGTGGTTTGATTTGGTTAATTCAAACATTTTGGTCTCCTCAGGTACCTTGATACATTACAATGAGCTTTAGAAAGTAATGATAAAAATACCACGGCCACAGCAATAATCAGTCACATTTACATTTTCATAAACATCAGTTAAGTGGTTGTTATGATATATGATCAAAGGATCAAACAGTTATGCTCAAGCCTGCTAAGTGAAAAAAATAAAGGCATTGGCATCGGCATGGACGACCGTGAAGACAGCTATCGCCAGCTGTCGACCCTACATTTTTTCCCCTCCCACAACGACTTCCCCTCTTCTCCCTCTCGACCAATCAGATACCGCCTAGCTTAGAGTAGTACAGTCGATGTTAAAAAAAAGACCTCGCATATGCAACTACCTACTACGGATAATTTACAGATTTCCAAACCAAAACTAATTCGCTATACTTATTTATTAAGTAGTGAATATACTTAAATAATAAATGTATTACGACAAAGTATACTAGTGGAAAATTATATAGTTATTTACTTTTATCGCAATATACATATATTACCTAAATAATGTATAGACTCGTTTCTACCTAAAGCTACTGTTTAAAATATAAAAGTAACTATAAAAACTCAGTATAAATAAATTTTTTATTTCAAAATGTCAATATACACTATATCTTCTTCTAATATATAAAATTCTCGTGTCACAGTGTTTGTCTGCAAACTCCTCCGGAACGACTTCACCGATCGTTATGAAATTTGGTGTGTAAATTCTGTAGGTATGCGAATAGGAAGTAAACTATTTCCCGTTTCGAAATTCTTAAAAGGGCTCCGCCCCAGTGGCTCTGGAGTTTCCCATGTTAACCTTATGAGAAATGGAATTATTGAATCTTAACAGCTGTTTCAATTAAACAAGTTGGTTCTGTTCTATGATGTTCAATAGCATTAAAGTTACAAGGATTACCAACAGGGTGCAGCACTATTATTTCTTTTACATTTATGACAACAGCTAATTTGCAACCAAAAGGTGAGTGAGCGTAGCGAACGAACTTCAACCTGGAAGCGAGTTAGCGTAGCGAACGAGCTAACCTGAAGGCAAGTGAGCGCAGCGAACGAGCTCCAACCTAAAGGTGAGTGAGCGTAGCGAACGAGCTCCAACCCAAAGGTGAGTGAGCGTAGCGAACGAACTTCAACCAGGACGTGATTGAGCGATGCGAACATCTAACCTGAAGGCAAGTGAGCGCAGCGAACGAGCTCCAACCTAAAGGTGAGTGAGCGTAGCGAACGAGCTCCAACCCAAAGGTGAGTGAGCGTAGCGAACGAGATCATCTTGAAAATTAAACGTAACGGTACTTAAATTAAAAATAGTCAAAGGCAAGACAACAGACAACGTCTGCCGGGTTTTCCATCGGTCTGTCTTAGGGGAAACCTATAACTTAGGCGATACGAAGTTCGCCGGGTCAGCTAGTTATTATATATTATAATTAATATACATCTATAGATGTATATTAATTATATACATTATATAATTATATAATTATATTAATTATATACATTAATTATATACATATAGAGGTAGGTATATATGTAAACTTAAATTGTAACAATGTAAATTGTAACCTAAAAGTGTACATATGTTATAACAAAATAAAAAGTGGTGGAAAATAGGTCAAAGTTCCCCTAATCTCTTCCATACCGCTTATGCTGAAAAATCCAGCCAACCTTCGACGGGTACCTAATAGAATTATGTTCCTTAACAATTCCCAAACTTTTTATTGCTGAAATTAGTTAAAGTACATGTAACCTTAAGGTGGACATATGTGATAAGACAATAAAAGTGGTGGAAAATAGGTTAAAGTTCTTCTAACCATTTCCATACCGCGTACGCTGAAAAATCCAGTCAACTTTCGACGGGTTATAAAATTATGTTCCTTACCAATTCCCAAACTTTTTA